ATAGCCGAAAAACACTAGCGATTATAAAATTTAAAAATAATTAAATTGATACTGCGGTAGGAGCACAACAAGATGCAACAGCGGCGGCGGGCGCGGATTAGCGAAGACTATATTGAACTTTTTTTTTTTTTTTTAAATGTGTATGCTGTTGGCCCTGCGGCCTTGACAGCTTCGTCTAATTAGGTTCGTAAGTGAGTACTTACGAACTATTGAGTGCAACGATTCTGCCGTCGGCGAGGCGGCGCGAAGCGCCGCGTCGCCGACTGCAGTCCCGAGGCACCCCGACCCCTGCTTTCGGAGTGAGGCTCCTCGAGCTAGGGGGGGGGGCTCGATGCGATTCAAGGGCCCCTCTGAAGGAGGTACGAACCTCGGCTTGAATCGCTATCGCAATTTTATTAACGAGTCGCAAAAAGTTAGAAACGCCCCGTATCACGGGTGTTAAACCTCGTGTACGGAGTGTGTCTGTGACGTCGCATTCGCCGGCGATTTCGGTGTGCCCTAGTGTTCTGTGCTAGAGTAGTGTCTGAGTGTGTGTAAGTGTTTATATTTACTAATCTAGTTCCCTCACCTGTGGAGGGGGGGGGGGGGGACGGGATCGACCTATTTATGGAAGTGATCTCGTCATCGGGATCAAGAAGAACGTTCTTGGGACGTCTCCTGCGGGGGGCAACATCCCTCAGTGGAGTACGAGCCCGCCTCATTCACCAACGGATTTTCGTGTTCTTTTATCGACTCGAAGTATCTTAAGGATAGTTCCTTAAGATACGTATGTATCGTAGGCATATCGAGGTCGCGGTGAAGATCCGCGTTCCTCACATAGAAGGGAGCTCCTGTGATCTGACGCAGGAATTTGTTTTGAACAACTTGAAGTTGTTTTAGGCTCGTTTTATTGGCGTGCGCAAAGGACACACCTGCGTATGTCATAATAGGACGTACGCAGGTTTTGTAAAGATGCAGTTTGTGCCTTAGGGACAGCTTACTGCGTTTGTTGGTTAAGGCAAAAAGACGATACACAACGAATTTTGCCTTATTTCTAACTGTTTTAATGTGCTGAGAGAAGCTCATTGCACAATCTAAGGTCACCCCCAGGTATTTTACCTCTCGGACCCACGGTATTGGGTTGCCGTAGAGGGAGATCGTACCTGTTTTATGTTTTTTAATCTTTAACAGTAAGTTGTTATAATAACGCCTTCTGTTGAAAAAGATGGCTTTGCTCTTATCGGGATTCAGTTCGATTCTCCATTTTCTGCACCAATCTCCTAGTGCGTTTGCTGCAGCTTGGAGTCGACTGCAGATTGTAATGGGATGGAAGTCTGAAGAGTAGATGGTAGTATCATCCGCGTATAGTGCGAGATGAGTACCTACTACCGAAGGGATGTCACTTGTATAAAGTGAGTACGGGGTCGGAGAGAGCACCGAGCCCTGGGGAACTCCTGCTCTGATTGATCTGGAAGAGGAGAATGTACCCTCCACGCGAAACCGAAAGGATCTATTTGTAAGAAAATCTTGAACGATTTTGACAAGTCTTAAGGGCACCCCTGTATGGATAAGTTTGAAAACTAGTCCATTGTACCAGACTTTGTCGAAGGCCTTGGCCACATCGAAAAACAGTGCTCCTGTGTAAACAGGGCGCCTGTTCGCCTTTACAGCCTGATCTAAAATGTGCTCCGTGAGGCGGTGCACCTGTTGAACACTTGAGTGTTTGGCTCGAAAGCCAAACTGCTCGTTTGGAATTAGGTTCTTACTTAGCACTGCATCCTTCAGGCGGCTGAGGATGATGCGCTCATAGATTTTCCCCATGGCATTGAGGAGACTGATAGGCCTATAGCTAGAAGCTCTGTCTCTAGGTTTGTTCGGTTTGTGAATACCGATTACTTCTGCTTCTTTCCACACTTGTGGGAAGGTGCAGGTGGACAATAGAACATTGAAAATAGCCACTAGAAGGCAGATCAATTTTGGGGGAAGAGCTTTAAACACTTTGTTATTTATACCGTCGGCGCCTGGCGCTTTTCGAGGTTTGAGGTTTTTGATGATGGTTTTCACCTCATCAAAAGTAACGGGAGGGAGTGGATCATCCGTTGGTGGGGTGGCGGACAGATTAGCCGCTTCCTCGTCCACCTTGTTCAGGTGGACGGGATCGATTGGCAGGGTGCTTGGAGAGCATTGGCTCTCGATGCTATCCGCCATGCACTCGCCCTTCTCCGAGTCGTCGAACGCTAACTGACCATCAGATCTAACTAATGGGGGCATCGAAGTGACATTTTCTGATTTAAGAGCTCTCGCCAGCTTCCAGAAGGCTGTATGCGAGGGCGAGATATCTTCCATCAGATTGTCCCATCGTGACTCCCTCAGCTGGGCCATGCGCTCCTTGACCTCTCTACAGAGGCGGCGCAGATTGGACCTATTATTATCTGTTCTATAATGATCATAGGCCCTCACCGCAGCGTTTTTCTCTCTCAGTAATCGCCGTACATCCCCGGGGAGCTCAAAACGACGATCGTTCGACGCCTTGAGCCGCCTCGAAGATTCCTCGGCAACCACCTTTATGTGAGAGGAGATGTGAGAGATGGCTTCTAAGGCCACTTCTTTAGTGTCTATAGCGCTATATTGAACCAATGACCCTTTTCCTTTTGAAGGTGAAGTGGAGTGAAAATTTTTACTCACACCACCGCCATCTATGATAAATACGAATAGATTAATTCGAGCGCATGTTCGGCGCGACTAAAGGTTAAAGTTAAAGGATTAAAATGACACTGTTCTTTGGGTGCAAATTATATTAATACTCTAAGTTGAAAATATGAAAAATACTAAAAAGTAATAATATTAATAATACCTGACAACGCAGTAAAATAATATAGATTTCTATTTTCTTTTCTTTTTCTTTTAATAAAAATGAATCGATTAAATGTCAATCGATTCATTTTTATTAAAAATAAAATCGGTCCAATAATCTGCTACGGTGAAACATCTATACAAACATACATACATAGATTGATAATTTGAATCGCCATAGTCGGGTCAAAATATAAACTAAAAGTGACAACCCTTGGTTGTAGCAAAACATGGCAAAGTAACTGTCACATCGTGAAATCACTAGTATGGTAACTTTTCCAAATTTCTTTTATAGACAAATATTAGGACTGCTATATTAAAAACGATATATTAAATTTCCTAACCATTAATATTACGTTATTACAAAGATATAGGTACGCACATTCAGTATTTTAAATAAAATCCACAAAAGTTCTGGAGCACTGAAAAAGGTGTTTAAGTCGTCGGCACAATTACGCGGTACAATAAAATGTCAAAATTTACTCTGATATTGCCATATTGAAAATAATGCTGTTAATTAGTTATTAAATTTTTATACAAAAAATAACAAATCTCAAAAAACGTTACGTTTTCCGTGTTAATCGTAATTTTGTACCAGTACACCACTGATGGCAAAGTTACCATCCATTAGTAAGGTGTCCGGAAACGATGTTGCCACACTCGGTCTTCAGCTTTGACAGTTGGCTCTTTCTGGCAGACAGATCTCTGGCAAAGACTTTGGAGCCTTGGTTCCGCTCGATCGCTTCTTCAATACAAGCTGTATTGAAGTTGCGCAGGTCCCGCCGCATGCATTTGGAGATCTGTCTGTTCAGTTGCCTGTATGCTGTCGAATCTGTTGAAGAATGTAGCTTCATCTCCCGTCTAATAGCCATGAGATTGTGATCGGAGAGTTTTTGTGTTTTTCTGCGGCGAGTCTTTCAATACTTAGCTCCGACCGCATGGACAGTTTCCACGAGCTCGTCATTCACTTCATTGCAGTCTTCTAGGTACTGAAAACGGTTTTGTAACTCGAGCTGAAAGGTTTCGGGACTTTGAAACAGAGCACGAGGGGGACGGAGCGTTGAATTCGTTAGACAAGACCTCTCCAACTTAACGTTTAGGTTCAGTGTGCCTCTAACCATTCGGTGATCGCTACCAGTTTTCACCCTCGCAATCACGGATACATCACTGAACAGTTGTCGTCTGGTCGTCATAATGAAGTCAATCTCATTTTTTGTCGAACCGTCGGGGCTCGACCAGGTCCACTTTCTGTGGGGCCGCTTCTGGAAGAAAGAGTTAATCATAAAGAGTCCCTCTTTCTCCATGAAGTCGGCCAGCTGCTGGCCCCTTGGGTTCCGTTGCCCTATTCCAAATTTCCCTACTTTCAGCTCACCGTTCTCTCTTGTGCCTAGTTTTGCATTGAAGTTTCCCATTAACAATGTATAGTGGGTATTTGGAGGAATGCATGGTATCTAGATATATCCTCATACATTTCCTACACCTCCTTATCGGGATGTGCCGAGGTTGGTGCGTAAACCTGTATGACCTTCAGCGAATACCCTTTGGTGATTCTGAGTATAAGGTACGCAACCCTCGTCGACACACTCTCAATCTTTACAACGTTGTTAACGAGAGACTTGTAGACGATAAATCCGACACCTCCTTGGGACAGATGGTCGCCCTCCCGGTGATAGAGCAAGTTGCCGGATTCGAAGATTACCGTGTCCTCCCCCTCTCTTCGGACTTCGGATAATCCTATAATATGCCAGCGTAACTTGTCTATCTCTTCTTCCAGCTCCACGATCTTCTCGTCAGTGCTCAGGGTGCGTGCGTTGTATGTTGCCAGGTCGAGTCGTCTTAGGTGGCAACCGAACCTCCACCGGAGATTCTTAGCACCGCCGTTACCATGGTCGCCACCGTAGCCAGGAATAGCAGGGTCGCTGGGGACTGGGGGCCGTCTCTTTGTTGCTCTCGTCATTGGGGGGTATTTGCCATAGTTACCACGCTTGGCGAGCGGGTAGGCAACCGCAGTTTTTTTATTGTAATTTTGCTGTTATCAGGAAGATGCTGCTGCCCATCTCCTGCCTGTTTCCCTTTGTCGCCTTTTACGACAACCACGGGAAGATATGGGGTAGTTGATATTCTTAACTGCCACTACACGACAATCCTCTTTAATAAAAAAAACTCACTTTATGTATATTTGCTAATGATGTCTCAAATTCGGCACCCATGTGTTTACTCTTGCCTGAAACCCGTTCGAGCAGCTCTAGAGCGTATTTCTGAAACATCACGTGCTCCTGTCTCTTCTCCTGGAGGATTGGATCGCGCATTAACGCTGTAAAAAAATTGTAAAAGGTAACTACATATATAGATAGACCCTTTTTACTGGAAAAAAGGCTTACTGGAATTTCATCTTAGTCCTCACGGATGAGAACGCATCTGCATTTTGATTCGCAAACGAGGATAGATGTAGATGTCTATGGGCCACAGCAACCACTTACCATCAGGTGGACTGTGTGCTTGTTTGTCACCCTATTCTATAAAAAAAGTAGATATATATCATATTGCCTTTCTGCCAAGGTGTCCGTCCGCTAAGTACCTTCTTACCTATTTCTGGCGTTACCGTGTAGTTGCGGTGTAAGAATATCCACTAACTCATACCATCCCGTAGGTGTCGTAAAAGGCGATAGACGGCCATTACACGGTAGGTTTTGCTGTCAGTTTTACAACAATCATGGTTGTGATTGACGAATAACCTACCGTGTAATGCGGTGATTGACGGTTGCATGAAATTGATTGACAAATATCTGGATATTTTGATTTTTACGTTAATCAACTATCAGTCACGAATTTTGATTGAACGTGTAATGGCATTTCGTCAATCACGCGTCAGTCAACGCTTAGACAGCAATGGAGGCGGACGCAGAATATATTGAAGAGGCAGCTTCCACGCGCTCGCGCTGCCCGTCGCCACTCCCGCCAAACGTGCTTCAGCCAGAAAAAGATTTTATTTTAAATTTTGAGGCTCTCCCCGAGTTGTGGGACACGAAAAACCCCGGGTAGGGTGGATGCCCCAAATACCAGCCACGCCCCTAATTCCAGATTTCTAGTAGTCTTAACTACAAATATTGTCGGCTAATAAATTCTTCGTAACTAGGGGAAAGTATATTTCAAATATTACCTCACAGTTTTAAACCTAACAGTGTTAAATTAAAAATCAAACCACGTACGCAACGAAAAACGCTCATTTTCCTAATTTTTTGACAAGTTATGGTCTCGATACAATTAAGCATATTTTACATTAGCTCATCTTTAGGCTTTTTGATTTGTATGAATGTGACTATAGACATAGTAATGCAGCTATTTTTGTTTAAATCTATAAGTTTTTAATTTTATTTTAGTGGAAATTAATGGGGCTGTAATTAGATATACGAAATGTATGGAGTGCTTAATGTCAGCTGCCCGGCTGTTATTTGGTTTGACGTACATAATAAGAAGTACCATAATTTCAGCCACGTAATATAAATCAGGGCTGTCATAAACTGGAATAAATACCATTAATTAGAACATAACTTATTTTATAGTTAAGGAAGTTATAATCAATTCGTCTATATTTTAAAATTGGTTTTTGATTTAAAAGTTTAGCAAATGATACGTACTTGCTTTTCAGATATTTGGTATATGTTAAGAACACCATACAATATTTAATTATTTTTTAAGAAAGACATAAAACAAACAATAAATGTAATTAACTACAACTTAGTAATACTAATTTTACTATAACTTAAGAACATAAATGAAAAAGTCATAACAGGGAAAGTGGTTCAGGACCATGCTTTGCGGCAGTCTATGGAGGATGATGTTCAGTTTTTTTTTTTTTTGCTGTGGCAACCCTGGTTATAAGTTGTAAAAGTAATTGGTCCCGATAAATTTTAATAATTTAAATATTGTAAATTCACCATATCCACCTCAATTTTATGTTATAGCTAATAATTACTGCCGCTTTGTATTTAATGTTTAAGAAAGTTGGTACATAAATATTATAACAACAATTTGGTGTTGGAACAAAAAGTGACAGGTAACGAACATTGTTTTAAAAATTATTGTAATCCTTATTTCATATCATTCCTTTTAAAAATTAAAGATTTATTCTATTACTCGGGTTATTACATTCGGGTTTCTTTTCGAATTGTTTTAACGATAATTTGATTTGAGACTTGTAAATAGAAAAAAAAAACAACAACTTTACATTAGCTTACTCTGCTCCTTCTGTTTTCGATCTTTGTTTTCTTTTATTATTTATAATAAATAGTAAAATGAATACTCGCAACGCCAAGACGCGCCAGATGGAGAACCAACTCCAGCTTGCGCTCCAAGAACTTAAGGCGTCCAGGGAGCAGTGTGAACTGTTGCTTAAGGAAAGGGATGATAATGAAAGGGAAATAGTTAGCATAATTGCCAAAAATACACAATTGAAATGTGATATGGTTAAGCTACATACAGAATACACAAGTGTTATAAAAGAAAGAGATCAGCTACAGGGAACGGTTAATGAGTTTGATCAATGCAGCAAGGAATATGAGGAAGCTCTCAGGTTAATTGCTGCATTGAAGTTACAGTTGAATGAGGCTAATGAGCAAATAACACAATTTAAAACATATATAGATAACCTTAAAGCCTCCCAGACTCAAAGCCTGTTCTCTGAGCTTGTGCAATGTGATACTTCAAGAATGTTACAGCAATCTGCAACAATAGACTTGACTGGTGACGACTCTTCCACTTCAGGAAATACAGTAAGGATTAATTGCAGTAAAACCAAATTGAAGAAGTATATAAAAGTTAATAAATACATAAGGAAAGTACAAAAATTAATAAGAAATAAGATTAATACCAAAAATTATGCTAATGTATGTAAAGAAAAGCAAGCATTGTTATATGAACTTAAGTTGTATTCAATTGAGGTGGATAACATAAAAAAATGTTATGAGACTGAAATAGAGTGCCTTAAATCAGAAATATTGTCACTTATGAACTCCCTTCAAACTGTGTCCAATAAATATAAATCAGCCCAAAATGAAATAAAAGAACACATATTGGCTATGGATAATCTGGTAAAGACTTGTAAATATAATGAGGAGCGGTTTGACTCCTTAGTTAAATATCAATGTGAGTGTCAGCGCTCAATGCCAGATTTTTCAAAGTCAGTGTGTGCTGATAATATTATACCACCACAAAAACTCTATGACAGTGCCATAGCAGAGGATATTAAAATAATAAATAACTCACATATTACTAAAAATAATATAATTGTTTATAGCGATGACATGGGAAAAAATCTAGGCATAACTTTAAATAACTCTTTAAAGGGACAAAAAGTTACAAATTGCTGCATGCCTGGAGCATCTTTTAGTGACATCCTAAATAAAATTATTGTTACTAAATTTTGCCCAAATAGTACAATAATAATTTTTGTTGGTAGAAGAGGCAGTGTCACCAACAAACAGTTATTAAGATATATTGAACAACTTAATAACTTAAATGTACACAAAATTGTCTTGTTCACACTGCCTTATATACAGGGATTGCCACAAGAAAATAATTTAAGACATAATTTAAATATACAAATGCATAATTTAATATGTAATAATAATTTAAATTTGACATATAATTCTAATGATAATAATCATAAATTTCATGTAATTGACATAAATAATTTAATAAAAAAGTTTTGGACAAAAGATAGGTATTACCTATCCAAATATAATTTAAGACTGATAGCAAATGTGCTATCTTATTATTTACTTTTCAACTCAGCCAAGTTTTTGGCTACCAAGACTGCTTTTATTGAGCATAATCATTTGACATTTAATTTGGAATCAGTTCCAACTAATTTAAATTAGTGAATGTGACAATAGAGGCAATCTCTAGCAATAATAAGAGTTTAATTAATTTTGAATACAGCCCACAAATAAGTAATAAAAATTGTTTACACCTGGTGCATCAAAATATACAAGGCATGTTGGGCAAAGAATTGGAAGTTGAATTGTTTTTAAATAGTAACAATATACACATCCTTTGTATTACTGAACATTGGCTAAAAGATTATAATGTCATGTTTAATTTCAGAAATCACCAGGTGGTCAGTTCCTTCAATAGAGAAAAAAGTTTACGTGGTGGCTCCTTAATATTAGCAGATAAATCATTATTATATAAAGAACGTAAGGATATTGTGAGCCTCTCTGTTGAACGAACTGTAGAAATGGCTTGTGTCGAGCTCGAGCACCTCATTGTTGTAAGTGTTTACAGACCCCCATGTGCTACTTATGACCATTTTGAAAGGATTGTGGAAGAAGTTTTACTCAAATTTAGTAAACAGAACAAGTCTGTTGTAATGTGTGGAGACTTTAATATCAATCTCCTTGAAACTTCTTCCATTAGTATTAAGTTTAGCTCATTGTTTAAATCGTATAATCTTGTAAATTTATTCTTAGAACCAACACGTATTGCTGGGCCTAGTGCGACCTGTATAGATAACATTTTTACAGATGTTAAGCCCTTGCATAAATCAATTATTCAAAATTTAAGTTCAGATCACTGTGGACAGTTAGTATCACTACCTTACATACACAAAAAACAGAAAAATAAGAAAGTTGTGTTTGTTCCAATAAATGAACATCGCTTGGAGAGTTTTAGAAGTAATATAATAAAAAGACTTCCATCACTTTCGTTTAAAAATAGTGCTAATTATTTGTATGCTACATTATTTGAAATTATACGTTGTGAATTTAGTAGAATATTTACTTCTAAAACTTTCTCTTTTAACAGTCGCAAATCATTTAATGAATGGGCGACAGTAGGAATTTATAAAAGTAGGCGAAGGTTATACGAGCTTTATGATGAAAGATCATATAATAGTAGTGTTATATTTAGAGATTATGTAAAAACATATTCTAAAATATTTAAAAAAGTGTGCTCCACTGCTAAGGCTTTACATTTAAGCAACAAAATTAAAACTGCATCCGACAAAATTAAAATGACCTGGAGAATAATAAATAGTGAAACGGGCAAGGTCAAACCGCGCAACTCGGATTTTCAATTGAATATTAACAATAATTTAACGCGATCTGATCAAGAAGTTGCTATGGCTTTTGAGAAACATTTTACTGATGTTCCTTTTTTGACAACAAAATCATTAAATTCTTCTCCTACTGTCGCCGAATCATTGCTCAAACAAAATGTAAAGGCTTGTTCAAATACTTTTAAATTCCATAGGGTACTGCCAAAAGATATCGTTAAATATTTTAAAACTATTGATGTTAAGAAAACGGCAGACTT